TGTTTGCACATCCATGTCTGTGGCTGGACTGCAAGCCATTCTCAAGGTGGTAAATATTCTTCCCTAGGGCTTTGTGCATGGTATACCCTCAGTAAATGTTAAATGAATGAATGAATATTTGACACTGAGCGAGTCATGACTTTGGAAAATTTACTTCCACTCCTAAAAACTTTTTCTTTAAAAAATGCTTGCAAAAATAATAGATGTAAGGATTCAATTTGTATTTGCAACCTTGAGACAGCAAGCTGAGAGACTGGTTTGTCTGCTTGCTGCTCCTGTCCTTCCTGCTCAGTGGACTGATTCAAGGATTTCCGTCTTCAGGATGTCAAGAGAGTGAGTAAAAAAAAGGTAGAACTAAAAACAATGAAATATGTCTGTCATCAGCATCAAAATGATAGATCACCATCAGCCAGATAATTATACAGGCTGAAGATGATTGTTGCAAACATAAAACCTAAAATAGATGCCTCAAGGTTAACACATCCTAATTACCTTTTGTGACATCCGATAAACACTCTATACTCTATTTTTAAATGTACTGCTAAAGAAAAAATAAGAGGAAGCAGTGTTAATAGAGATTATTTCCTATATCCAGAGATACACTGAAATTCTAGAATAAATCTTCCTATTACATTATTACCTATCAAGGTAGAGCACAGTAAAAATTCCCCAATACAAGAACCTTTGTAAAATAACATATTTAGTATGCACACTTACCGAAATACTACAGTAAGAAATTCAGTGACAAGTATTTATGTATATAAAATGTGTAGAATAAGCCATACCAAAAATAAGTAACAGAGAAAGCTCTTCAAAAATTCCATGTTTGCCTACTGTTTACCTGCTTCACAAAAACTATACCTGTTAACCCACTTGAGAAAATCACCCACTTGAGAAATTTTATACATAGTAATAAAAATAGGAATGTGGTTACACCGATGGCTAATCAAAAAAAGTATTTGGTATAAACCAGGGTAGTCAGGATTTAAGAATTTGGCAAGAAAGAGAAAGAGGAGGAGAGAGGAGAAAGGAGAGAGAGAGAGAAACCATTGGTTCAGACTGAGCTCTTGCACCAGACCCAACAGAACAAACCAACATGGAGTCACTCAGGCTGAAACCTCGCACCACCAAGCCAAAATTAAGTTGTTTATCTGACCTTTTAAGCAATCAGGAAAGAAGTCACATCCCCAAACAGGCCAGTTTTAGCTATCATTATGAGAAAGTTCCTCCTGCATTAATCTTTGCAAGGAAAGTAACTTTGAAATAAGCAATTTTCTATTTGTTCTCTGTTTCTGTTTTCCTCTACCCTTTTCTGTTTGTAAAACCAAACTCCTCTGCTCAGCTCATTGATATAGTCATTCTATTTTATGGAACGAGAAATTGCTTGATTCCAGAATGGTAAAAAAAAAAAAAAAAATAGGATCTTTAAACTAAAATCTGTTGTAATTTTGTCTTTTGAATTATATCTACCTGTGAGAACTAAAGAAGTTTTGCGAAGGTGATGTTTTCTAAGTGGGAACGAAAAAGATTGGTGGAAACAATACAGGAAAATGCAATAAAAAAAATAACAGAGAGAGTTTGCTCAAGGAACAGTAAGATATCCCTTTTAGTTAAGTAAAGTATAAATAAGATAAACAACTAAAAATGTACTTTGGGATAAAATATGAAGAAATATGACTGTCAAGCCAAGGAATTTGGACTTGATGTTTTGCTCTCCAGGATATTATAACCAGTTAGAAATCACGTGATTGGCTTGACCACATTGTTCAGATCACTCCACATCCCAACCTCCCAGCTAAGGATGTTGCCTCACTATCACCTCACTGGGATGGATTAGAATCCCCTTCCCTGGAATCTGAAACTAACAGAAATTATATTACCAGGAGCATCTTGTATGTACAATCACACTCCACATAAAACCAGCACCTACTGACAAGAGATGCAATAACGTCCCTTAGTTTTCTAGATTACCAATGTTAACAGTCAGCAATTCATTAACAATCAATAAGACTTGGAGTTAAAGAGGCTCATATATGCAGTATTCAAAAAGCAGACGTGGAAACAAATCCCCATTGACAAGAGAGCTGATTCACCAGTTGTACAGTCACTGCAGACAATATAGAGCATGTGTAAGCACTAAAGTTTCTTTTCCCTCACAAGAGCAAACTTCAAGAGGTCATGAATGGGGAAAATGAATACATCCCAGGCCGACACAACCTAGACGAATTCCAGAAATTTAGTGCTGAGTAAAACAGACAAGTTTGTTTAAGTCGTCATCCAGAACCAATCACAATGTTTTGAATGTGTTCTGACAAAGTTTTAGAGTGTAGATTCACTAATTTTTTGGTTCTAGTTTATTTCAAGATTAATGTTTTCTCATAAACTTACAGCAAACTAAGGTGCTTTATGAGAAAATGATTCTTATTTTAATGTTCTTGTTGTGACTTAGAAAACCCTACCCCCAACTGAAGGCCTCAGAAACCCACCTTTTTCTGTCCTTTTCCTGTCCTCCTGCCTCAGTCCCATTTCTTGCTGAGGTTAGCCATAGAAACTAGACCCTTCTTTCCCAATGTGGGTGATAGAAACCAGAATCCCTTTTCCCTGAAGTCAGCCAAAAACCTCAAAATACTACTCTAACTTGCCCCCTACCACCTTTCCGTATAAAAACTGGCTATGAAAAATTATCTGACCTGCCTTGTTTAACTGCAGGTCATTAGAGTCCCTTTCCAGATAGGGTCTCACCACACTCAGAACAAAGGAATATGTACTCAGAAAGGTCAAGAAAAATCTGGACAGACAGGACTTAGTGAGTTTCCCTACTCAGTCTATTAGCATTAAATCATACTCATTTTGTCCAATCATATTTCTACAGGATACTGTCCATACTTTGCTAAACCTAACAATAAAAAGGGACAAATTACTCCCCTGCTTCTTTGGGTCTTCATTCTGAAAGTCTCTATGTCATATAAAACTATGATCAAATAAATGTATACGCCTTTTTCCTCTTAATCTGCCTCGTCAATAATTTTCAGTGAACGTTAAGGCAGAAGAGGAACATTTTTCTCTTGGCCTGGATACTCTCCATTCATTGATAAAATGATTCACTGCTGTTCTTATCAAAGAATAGACTGTTTCTAAGTGAAAATATTGCCTCAAGTTTATTCAGATATTAGAGATATGCCTAGGCCAGGAGGGAGAAGCCACAAGTTGGTAAGGGGAGCCAAATGTGAGGGTCAGTCATAAACCACTTATTACGTTTATTTGGCTGAATGAGAAAGCATTCTGTACCTGTTTCTGTCCATATGCATAACTACTGTGATTGCAAAACCAAGAGACAGTAAAGATGGTTTTCAAGAGAAAACAAAGAATGATACTTGGTCTACAGTGTGGGCAGCTTTTCGATCGATCTCTATAGGGTTTTCACTTGAAGCTTTTGGTCCAAAAGAGGCAAATCTCTTACTATCTGGGTAACTATGAGCATTGCTTGCAGAAGCTATGACCGTGTTGCAGTGCTCACTACTGTTTGCATGGGTCTTTACAGGGAACATTCTTTCCTCCTTGCATGTATTCAGAGCAGTGAAGTCCACTACCTGGCATCTGTATGAGGACCTGGCTGTCACAGTCCCCGCAACTCCCATCCCGTACACGTACATTTCCCCTTTAAAGGTCTGATACTGTTACCAATCAGTTGGTTTATCTATATTAAAGACTGAAAATCGTCACCATGTTAACATATATTGATGGATAGACATTACGCATGTAACAGGATTTTTTAAATGACAAACCTTGACTAAAACATCAGGGAATAATAAATACGAATTCCAAAATTTTATTCCATAAAATAAAAAAATCTGAAAATAGGTAACACAGAAATTGATTATACGGCTCTAAATTCTACAAGGAAGACATAGAAAGTTTAAGAGTAGGGCCTGATAATTCCTTCATCTCAAACCTAGAGAAAGGGCTTCGATAGGACCATGGAGAGCTTTGTATCTTCTTCCCACGGTACTGAGAAGCACAGTACACCAAAGTCAAAATATAGTCCTACCTACGAACGTAGAAAGCAAGGGCGAAGAGCTCATCCTATATTTTGACTGACTGGCATTCCCAAAGCTGGTCAAGACAGAGCAGACTGAGTGTATAATACTTCCAGGAACAGATATGGGCCACATGGTAAAAAGGAACCAGCATAGAGTCTTTTAAAACTCCAATCCAAGAGAACAGGGTAAGAGGAAATGAGTCTTTAATAGAGAAAGCCTACATTAGTAAAAAAGTGGAAAACCGAGAGATGATGGAAACATGGTTTGAAGGTAAGAAATCATCACTGACTTGACAGAGTTTCAGTTGGAGAGCCTAGAGAGGCAAGTCTCTAAAAAACCCATTAAAACTATAGTAGGGACGAGCTACCCTGAAATACATTCTTATTGAAGTACCAATCAAGTAACAATTCTCTGGTTCCCTTCCTGCTCCTCTGTCTCCATATTCTAACTAGTCCTAATGATATCAATCATAGCAGTTGGTGCAGACAGTGGAGGTGACTAAAATTTTTGGTGGCCTTCTTGCAAGAATGTCACAGTTAGGGCCTGATTGTGCATGAGAGCATGGAATGAATAACATTTAAATAACAAAGGAAGTGTTTATGTTATGCTAGTCTGGGAAATTTACTTATTAAGTGAATAAGTGTTTTACAACTTGAAGAAAAATGATTAAGTTTCATCCATGGACATGGGAAAATTTTCCTTTTGTATAAGTTTTTAAAGGACAGTGAAGGTAAACAATCAATATGTATGTTGATTTTACCTTATAAGCCATGCTTGGTTAATGTATCAGTTCATACATATATATATACACACACACGCACAATATACAGTCCCACAGATAACTTTATTTAACCTAGACAGACTCTCTGTGAGATAAATACATCTCTTATTTCATAGCTAAAGAAACTGAGTCTAAGAGAGACCATTTAAGACAATCAATAGCTTGCTTGAATTGAATGAATACATGCCATTTTTCTAAGCATTTTATATACCTTTTTTTTTTTTTTTTTGAGACGGAGTTTCGCTCTTGTTACCCAGGCTGGAGTGCAATGGCGCCATCTCGGCTCACCGAAACCTTCGCCTCCTGGGTTCAGGCAATTCTCCTGCCTCAGCCTCCTGGGATTACAAAAGCTGGGATTATAGGCACGTGCCACCATGCCCAGCTAATTTTTTGTATTTTTAGTAAAGACAGGGTTTCACCATGTTGACCAGGATGATCTCGATCTCTTGACCTCGTGATCCACCTGTCTCGGCCTCCCAAAGTGCTGGGATTACAGGCATGAGCCACCACGCCTGGCCCTTACTTCATTTAATTCTCATAACAACCCTATGAAGTAGTCACTATTATATTCCCCATTTTATAGATGCAGAAACAGAGGCATAGAGGTATTAAAGTTCGCAGCCAGCAAGTGATATGGTCAACAATTACAGTTGGGCTTCAGAGCCTACAGTACTATGTACTAGGCACGTGACATAGAGATAGGGAGTGAACCACAAAGTCATAATCTATACCAGCAATTCTGAATGAGATTTCCCCTAGATCAATTCGTGAGGACTCAGCTGTATCACAAACAATAAAACAAAAAGTTAAAAAAGGAAGGAGGGCAGCACAACAGGTCTGTCACTAACTACCTTGCTGTGTGGCATGGGGTGAATAAATTGCATTTTCTGGGCTTGAGTTTCCATGTCGATTAAATTAAGTAAATGGACTTTAGAGTCTCCAGGGTCCCTTCCAGATTTGAATTTGATTTCCAGCTCTAAAAGAATATGTGTTGGTGGGCAGCTAATGCATATTAAATTATGTAAACAATTTACCCTTGCTGTAGGGCTGATGAAACATTTTTAAAATTTACATTTACATAAGAGATACTCTTTTGAAAAATTCTATCTTAACATGCAATCAAAAAATATTTTTTATAACATTTCAAGTGGATGAAAATGAAAGACAATTTCAAAGATCAAAGAAGCCGAAATGTGTGTGTGTGCTTTTAAAGAGAGTGTGATGGGGTTATACATAGATTCATTATTATTATTTTTAGAACTGCACAGCTGTTTTGGCAGCTTGTTTTTTGAATCCTACTTTGCAAATGTAATGAGGTTTTTTTCCAAACAAATTTTAGTTAATGGAGCAGATAACACATTTATTTCCTTGTCATAGCTTAGCATTAAATAAGAAATGTAACAAGAATTCACAGTTTAAAATATGAAACATGGTATTTGGTCTCCTTACTTACTAGCTACCAAATTAGAAAATAACTCAATATTTTACTTTCTCTCCATACATTAAAATTATCTGTGATTACAAAATATTTTGCACAATCTCATTTCTTGTCACATAAGTCTTTTGCTATTATAAAATCAATAGTTGTGCCTCTCCAAAGCAAATCTCAAGTCACTGAGTAGAAACTTTTATACCATCTGACAAGATTTAGGCACTTCCTATGTACCAAATACTGCTCCAAATGCCTTACAATTATGGTTTTATTTTTTCTCACAACAAATCTGTATCTAGACACTATCATGCTCATTTGACAAATGAGGAAACTGAGGCAGAAAGAGTAACTTGCCAAAGTTAATCAGTTAGCTGGAGTGCTAGGATCTGACAATAGACTGTTGATAGGTGCAAAACAAAACCAGAAACAGGATAAAGGATAATAATATATGCTAAAATATTCTAATTTTTAGTTTAAATGTTCGATACTTTGACATGATGCCTTAGATATATTTCCACAGAAAGCCTGTCTTAAAAATGTAAACTCGAGGCCTTTTTTGAAGCCTTATTTATTGTTTAAAATTCTGTTGTATTACAAAAAGGATTTGACAAGAGAAGTGCTGGTTTCCGCTTACTCACCACACTGAATGATGAGGCCCCAGAAGTTTGTGGTGCGTTTCCCATAACACCTTCTACAGCCTCTCACATTCAGTGTGTAGGGTATATTCCTTTCCTGGGGCTGTCACTACAATTACCACAAACTGGGTAGCTTACACAACAGAAACGTATTATCTCACAATTCTGAAACCAAAATGTCAGCAAGGCCATCTTCCCTCTGAATTCTCTAGGGAAGAATCCTACTTTGCCTTTTCCTAGCTTTGGAGGGTTAATGAAAATCTTTGGTGTTTTTTGGTTTGTAGCCTCATTACTTCACCCTCTGCGTCTGTCTTCACACGGCCTTCTCCTTATGTATCTCTGCGACTCTCCTACAGGGACACTAGTCACTGGATTTAGGGCCCACTCTGAATCAAGTAGGACATCATCTCAAGGTCTTTAATTAATTATATATGTAGAGTGCTATTTCCAAATAAGGTCACATTCTGAGATTCCAAGTAGACATGAATTTGGGGGACACTATTCATGTGTGAAGATATTGTGGCCTGGCATTAAGTTGAGATTGATATACACCTCTGAGAGGCCCTATATTAGACACATAATCTGTGTAATGACTTCACAGGTGTCTCCATGCGGCTGAAGGTAGCACTGTGACCTCAGCCTGGGCACTTAGCAACAAATGGGCAAATAGTTTTCAGATATCCCAAAGGACTGAGGTCAAGGGATTAGGGGTAGTCCTCTGAGTATAATGTATCCAGGGCTTACCTAAAACATAACAAATACATGCCTCACCCATTATATATAAATATAAATATATGTATATGTATATTTATATATAAACACATATATAACAATATGATTTCCCACATTAAGAAGTTCATTCTTGACCGGGAGCAGTGGCTCACGACTGTAATCTCAGCACTTTGGGAGGCTGAGGCGGGTGGATCATGAGGTCAGGAGTTCAAGACCAGCCTGGCCAAGATGGTGAAACCTCGTCTCTACTAAAAATGCAGGAAAAAAAATAGCCAGGTGTAGTGGCAAGCACCCATAATCCCAGCTACTTGGGAGGCTGAGGCAGGAGAATCACTTAAAATCTGGGAGGCAGAAGTTGCAGTAAGCCGAGATCACATCACTGCAATCTAGCCTGGGTAACAGAGCAAGACTCTTATCTCAAATAAATAAATAAGTTCATTCTTTTGAATAGTTTCACGTCTACAGAAATTACATAAGGAGTATATACTGTACAGAAGGCACTAGATGTGATTGCTCAGGGAGAGTGAAAAGACATGAAGATCTTAATTTCTGCCCATGAGGTAAGTGGGACATGAAAGATATGAACAGATAAAATGGATGCCTTGGGCTGTTGAAAAAGGGATGACCATGTTTTGCAAGCAGTATTATAGTGTTTCCTAGAATTAAGAAATGATGTATGTGAGGGAAAACTAAGAGAGACTTCCCAGAGGAGGTGGCTCTTGGACTGGCCCTTGAAAAACAATGTAAAGGTACAACAAGTATGAAACAATTTTCATAACATGGCATAAAACGTATTTTTGAATGTTATCTAAAATACTAGATAAACAACCACCGTAAAACACCTAGTGTGGCGCCAGCATATATGGAACCACAGTATATAGGAACTATTATCATTTATGTTATTTATAATAGTAATAAATGTATGAAAAGTTCTTTTTCAGTTGTGATTCAACTTGTTTTCTTTCCAAACAAAACAAATATTATCTTTATTAAATTTTTGACATCAGAGAGGCAACTAAACTCTTCATTAAAGGATGAGGTTGAGCATACGCATTTATTTGATCATTTATATTCAGCTCTATTCACGAAAGGATTAAAAATTTCTACACACATATAATTAAATAGCTATAGGACTTTGATTTTTAGGAGATTGTAGTTACAACAGTTATTTGTGAACAGATGTTATCACTCCTGGTTGGGAGAGAATTTTCAGCTGCTGCGGTGGCTCACACCTGTAATCCCAGCACTTTGGGAGGCTGAGGCAGGCAGATCACGAAGTTAAGAGTCCGACCAAGATGGTGAAACCCCGTCTCTACTAGAAAAACACAAAAATTTGCCAGGCTTGGTGGCGCGTGCCTGTAATCCTAGCTACTCAGGAAGCTGAGGCAGGAGAATAGTTTGAACCCAGGAAGCGGAGGTTGCAGTGAGCCGAGATAGCACCAATGCACTCCAGCCTGGGTGACAGAGTGAGACTCCGTCTAAAAAAAAAAAAAGAAAGGTAAATTTTCACCACTTCCTTTGCCACCAACAGAGAAACCAATTTTCAGTCACTCCCCCTACATCTTTATTCCATTTGAGATGTAAGTAATCTCACTGGTCAAACCTTGATGTTCACTGGGCCATGTAAAATATGAACAGGGCCATATAGGTTCAAAGGTGGTGAGAGAGTGGTTGGTGGGAGAAACGCTATCTTATATCACTACTTGCATAGCCACAAATAATTTTCCCTCCTATTCCCATGTGCTCAGTACTTCTAAAACAGAGCCCAGGTTCTCTCATCTTACTGCATGCATAAAAGCCTGAAATTCTCCTTCTTTCCCGCTCTACCAGACGAACTCCAGGAAGCTGAATGCATAAGAGCATTTGGGATTACTTACAGACACAGCTTTCTCCACAGGTAGACGCTGAGGTCTAATTCAGAGACTCAGAAATAATCCTTCATGTCTGTCTTAGAGCAACACTGAATTCTGCATTGCAGCTTTTCCAGCTGCTAGACACTTACCGCTAATAATAAAACTGTACTTTGATCCCAATTTACACTCTTGTCCCTATTTTCTACTAGTTGGAACCTAGAAAATCATTACTCTAAACCTCAACATCCTTTTTACACTGCAAAGTTCTTGATGAGGAGGATCATGGAATATTTGCATTTTGCTTTTGGTGACATGCTGATGATCACAGGGCACAGGCACCCTGCCCATTGTGGACATTCAATTAATATATATATTTTTTTGAGACGGAGTCTCACTCTGTTGTCAGGCTGGAGTGCAGTGGCACAATCTCAGCTCACTGCAACTTCTGCCTCCCTGGTTCAAGCAATTCTCTTGCCTCAGCCTCCCGAGTAGCTGGGACCACAGACGTGCACTACCACGCTCAGCTAATTTTTGTATTAGTAGATATGGGATTCACCATGTTGGCAGGGATGGTCTTCATCTCCTGACCTCATGATCTGCCCACCTCAGCCTCCCAAAGTGCTGGGATTACAGATGTGAGCCACCATGCCTGGCTCAATTAATATTCTTAAATGGAAATCTGGCTAATAAAATTATTTGAGATAGCTGCTAAAATATGCCCCAATTGCTGCTATATCTCATTCTGTCTTCAAATAATCTTTACAGCAGAAGTTTCAGACAACAATGTAAAAAAACATAATATTACCTTTGCAATTTGGCTTCCCAATGATATGAGACTCTAGCTAAATGCAGGAGATGGTGACAGAGGAGAAAGGAGATTTTAAAAAAAAAGGAAGAACAAAATGTATTGATCGATTTGATTTTTGAGAAGCAGGTCACACTGCAGAGCTGCCTTTTATCTACCATACCACAGGGAGAGAGTAATGTTTGTCATGATTCTCAAGGCAAATCAATAGAGTTAGAGAATAAAGAAAACAAAACTCCTAATCTCAAGTTCCCAATAACTCAGAAAATAATGAAATCTAGGCAGGCTCTAATGTAATATATTGGCTTTCATAAAGTCATAGAATCATCAGGCTGGAAGTCTTGAAATGAGTTCCTGGAGTCACCTAGAAAACTATTGGGGAAGCTGGACTTTTAACTCATTGGCCCTGGTGTTATGCAGCAAACACTGGGCTCATATCAGTTTGCTGGTGACTCTGAAGTTATGTATGTTACTGGGATTTACATTCAACAAGCTGAATGGACTGCCCAGGAGCTACTCTAGTTAGGTTCCACCGATGTACAAGTGGAGACATAGCCTTTATTCAAAGACACATTACAGAGACATATAACAAGCTATTGTATACTAAGTACTATTTGGGATTTACTATGACCGGACACATTCAGATGTTCAAGCCTTGAGTACACTGATGCCCTATGACGTGAAATGTAATATAAATGATCTCCTGCCAATTTAATTCCCATTACCCTTAGTAGTTGATAAGCAATTAATACCTGTCAGAGCAGAATTATTATCTCCATTTTACAGATGAAATATATAAGCCTCAAATAAATAAAGGAACTTGGCCATAACCACATTATTTCTAATGGGCTAAGCCAATACTAAAATTCAAGGCTCCTGGGTCTAAACCTCATGCCCTTTTCACTACAATCTCAAGAAAATACCTTCATGTCAAGAACTGATTTTTCCAGATCAATGACTTATGAAGAATATCAGCTTATTACAGGGAATGCAACATAAGTAAATTAAATATCATTGTTTTTTCAAAACTGGCCTATGTAAATAAGCATTTTTCTAAGAATCTGTCATAGTTCAGTTACTGTCATTCATTTTCTCATTATAACCTGACATTCTTTTCACTTTTGAAGCTCTTGTGTACTTCCTATCCTCTCTAATGAAATTGAAATGTCCAAAAAACTAATTATACTTTCATTTTTGGTGTTTCTGCCGTGAACCACGTTTTAGGTCTAGCTAAAATTATTTTCATGGCTGCCTTTAGTAATTAAAACTTCTTGCATGAAGTAAAATAAATACCATCCTACTGTGAGAGTATTCTAGACTATTCCAAGGTTATCTTGTTTTGGTGGAAATAACCAAAGATAATCAAGTCAACTAATAGTGTGTTCATTAACTATGACAGCAAATGTTTGAGTATTTACAATGTGCTGGAGATACAAAAATTAGCATAACCTGGTGCCTGTCCCTGAGGAGACTGCAGTTTAGGAGCAATGGATACACATTCAATTAAACAAAAATATATCAAACTTATATAAGCAAAGAATGGCAGGCTTAGAAAAAGGCAGCCATTCATTTCTCTGAAGCAAGTGAAAATTTCAATAAGGAGATGATAACTGAATATTGAAGTAACAGATATACTTTTGCTACAATATGAACTTTAAAAAGCTAAGGAGTAAAATGATGAGTCCTACAGCTCTGAATTGTATATCATCAGAGTTTTGGTTAAATTTTCTATTACATGTGCTGTTGGCACCCATCAGAGAGAGGTTACTTTTCTGATGGAGTTATTAAGCCTCCCAAAGGTCCTTACCAAATCAAAAAACCCTCTAACTCTAATATGCATCAATGGTAGACTCTGTTTGGAAGAGTTCTCATTCACTATTTCCATTCAGCGTTACTAAGTGCTGAGTAAGGTGGTGTTACTGAGTTGTGGAGAATTTAAAACAGGCAGAAATCTGCTACCCTTTTTTTTCAGTTGCTCAGAAAGATCTGCAATCTGACTGAATTGATTGATTTCTGGGATCATGACCAGTTTTGGTTGTTTTACATACGCTCACAATTGGAAGATACAGAGGTTTTCAACAAGGAAATGTTAAATGGTTTCCAAAAAAGGCACAAAAGAGAGAATGGAATAAATTGATTCATACTGAATGCAGAAAGAAATTATTTGATCGATTATGCTGATTAATATTTATAAAACTTTTAAGATAATGGTTTATTGTTGTTCTGAGTATACACTTGAGATTGATTTTTGTTTAATTATCTTCATTTTTATCAACAAGTGATCAAATACTACAAAGTTCCATGATAGCAGAGGAGGGTTTTGATAACTTATGGGAAACTTTAAGACATTATATGTCTGCTGCTGAGCCATGGCATGCACACTTACAATGTACAGAAGTGTTGCCGTAAAATACGTTTTCCGTTCAAAATGTTTTCTTCAGAAAACATTTATCCACTTCTAAAATGATAAGACAATTTACAAACTTGAAATAAAAGCTGAAATAATGATAAAACATAAATGGAATTCTCTGAATGACTCAGAATAAATTAAAGACTACCAGGCCTAAAATGAGAAAAATACAGCATTTGACTATACTAAATCTTTTTCTCCAAATAAATCTTGTCAATCACCCTGTTTGTTTTTGCTTAACTTTCACGGTTTAGAACCAATCATGTAGCCTATCATAATAATTTATGAACCTTACTTTATTTACCAATTCCGTTAGTGTCACTTCTTTACCCTCATCTACACTTCACAAGTCACTGCTGATTATACTATCTCATTCTCCACTTGTATTCTCTTTTTGAATACTGTCTCTCCAAATAAATCAGGGAGGAACTGTGTCTTGTATTTTCTTTGTATCATCATGATACTTAACACAACGCTAAGCATATAGCTTTATTCAGCTCAGAGATTAACAATCTGTGAAATTTAGCTTAGTGTTTCAGTGTGTTTAGTTATCAGGTCTGCTGCATCAAAGACTAGAATCTGCAATCATGAGAAAAGCTCAGAAAGCCAGTGCAGGTGAGAATAGATTACATTTAAAAAGCTAGCCAAAACAGTAAGACCACTAACCCCAAAGTAGACTGGGGTCCTTCAGTGGACGGGCAGATAACTGCAAAACCTTAAATGTCTCTGAGAGTATAAATTAAAATCACCTAGGTTTCAAGTTCAACAACTATTTATTTAATACTTATTGTGTGCCAAGAACTATGCCATAATTTGAATTTACAAAGGTTGACATGGCATCTGGATCATCTGCTTTTGAGATGCTTACCATCTACTAGTGGAAAGGGATACATTACCTTATTTTTTTTAAAGTGGAAAATGCTACAACAAATATAAGCACCTTAGAGCATAAGCACAGACAAAAGATACTTCCTTAACCCAGCCTAAGCCAAAAAAGGGTTTCCTGGTATAGTAACTTTCCTTGACAAACTCAGTTATCAAGAAAATGTAGTTATTGTCAGTTACTCTTTAATAAGGCATTAATCACTCCTAGAAATAAGTTGAAGGAAAGGCTTTAGAATAAAAAATATCTTCCAAAATTGCTTCAGGACTTGGGATGTTCATTATAGGCATAACTTTTAATAGAAGTGACAAGTTTTCAAGCAATCTCTGGCCAGGGAAAAAATTAGTTTGTGAACCACAATGCTACTCTGTGTGACAAAGATGCACCATTCACAAAATACAATTACCTAACAGAAAAAACAAATTCACAGCAGGAAACAGGGCAATTAATAGCAGTTAATGCAGAATACACTTAACACAGACATCAAGAAATACTGTCAAAGCTGAAGCACAATTACATAAACCATCTAGGTATCATTTAAGCAAAAGACAAAACATTGTATCTATTTCCCAAAGGATTCATGAATAGTCCTACAAAATTAGATTTTTTTGCCTGTGCTTAATTTTTAAAATTTTAACTAAATTATAGTATGCTTTTTTGTCATAGCTGATATCCAGATGTAATTTATATTTAAAATCCAAATGATATTTTTAATTTATGATTCCACATTTTCAATTGAAAGCCTGGAAGTTCATCCATAGCCATCCTATTTTCTTGAATCATCAACTATAAAGTGTTCATAATTAGGATTTGGGCAATGATAAATGGACTCAAGCAAAAGAGCTCAAATTAATTCTTATTTAATGGCTTTTCACTATCAAAGTAGACAAAATTTTACTCTATCCCAAAACTAGCTTGTGCTGGTTACCAAGGCACATGGACCCTTGTTCTAAATCCATTTTTTTATTTGGAATGGCACTTTAAAGACTGGCTGCACACTGTGAACTCAAGATATAAACAGTCTATTTGCATTTTAAATGTCTTCAATATTTCCGAAGCTCTCATGTGTAACTTTTATCATAGAACTGCCATTCACGATACCAAAAGAGACCCCATGTCCGAGTGCTTTGACATCCTGCTATGGCTCTCGCTGATACTCAAGTCTATTACCACCAAGAAACCTTTCCAGGAAATTAGTTGACATTCAAGGAAAACACTGATCATCATGCAGCAAACTGAAGGTTATATTTAAAATGATTTGATCAGTCTCAAATGATAGAAAATAGATTTGGGGAAATAGCTGAGCATCCTTCATTTATTTATTCAAGAGTTATTAATTATGTATTTACAATGCCAGGCTCTATTCTAAGTGCTGGGATGCAGGACCAGACAAGATAGACAAGATCCTTGGTCTCCTGGAACTTACATTCTATTGAAAGACTTCATTAGTAACTAGCTAAACACATCAATAGACAGTGACAAGTGTTACAATAAAAACCAAATAGATAACGTGACTGGTGATTTGGCGCAACACAATAGCATCTCAGCTTTTGTGCCAAAATGAAAGAAAGAATAAAACAAGAAAGAACAGCCACTGGAATATATGAAAAAAAAAATGATTCAAAGAGGAAAATATAACGACCATTCTAAGACAACAGGTGTGAGGAACAGACTGGAAGCTTGCTGGGTACAGCACAGACGTGGCTCCAGCCTGTAGAAAAGAAGAACAAACAGCCCAGAGTAGGATTATTGGCTGTATCTCTTCTTATTTTCATTATGTGGGAGAGTTAACCACTTTTAACTTTTGCCTATTGACTACAAAATTGGAGTAACACCATCAAATTTCTAAGTTTGTAGTTAATATTAATTAGTGTAAACAGCTCTTGGTACGATTAGATGTCCAATAAATGCCAGTTATCTCCTTACCAGGGGAATAAGCAGAATTTACAAAATAGGGATTATAGAGAGAGATCAGGCCCAGTTAAAATAATTTATTTTATAACACAGCTCACAGTGCCTCATTCAACCTTCCAGTAACCCTTCAGAAAGGGTTTTATCATCTTTCCCTTATGGATGAGAAAACGGAAGCTCAAAGAGATCAGGTGACATTTGCAAGATGATTTCTCTGCATGGGAGCTTGGAGTCACACTCAGCTAATATCTCCTCTTGGCTGGGGATGGAGTAAAGGCAAAGAAGTTGTTGGTCAAAGGGTACAAAGTTTTAGTTTTAGTTAGACGAGAGGAATAAGTTCCGATATCTATTGCATAGCAGGGTGATTATAATCAATAATAATATATTGTGTAATGTAAAATTACTAAGATAGTAAATTTCAAATTTCTTACCACAGGAAATTATAAGGGAGATGATAACTATGTTAATTAGCTTGACTTAATCATTCCACTTTGTACATACATATCAAAACAACAGTCTGTACCCCATAAATGTGTACAATTAGGATTTCTCAATTAAAAATAACAATAATTGAAAAAAGATTTGGCTGCTCTACACTGCCTACTGATCATATCTCTAAGTAACACTTAAATCATGGCTTCAGATAAAGGTGTAGGAGTTTTCCATGAAGTAGTGAAGAAGGGGAACTTGTAGGAGTTATATCTGTCTATAGGGTACAATTCCTAGTTGCAGTGGTTAATGGCAAGCCTACTGAAGCCAGCTAAGCCCAACCCTTTCGCGTGCCATTTATTAGCAATGCAACTCCAGATGAATTTCCTCTCAGAAATTCAGCTTCTATGTAAATATGCCGCTAATATGTTTTATCAGTATTTGCAGCATCTACATGGGCTAATGATTAAGTAAGATAAAGCATGTGAAACACATAGCATACTACCTGACACAGAGTATTCATTTGCCCAAGCTGTGCTGCCAATGAGTAGCAGGGCCAGGACTTCACCTCTCAAGTTCCCAGGTCTTCATCATACTCACTTCTTCATGTAACTAGCTGCAAAATTCCACTTGCTACACAGAAAAGACAAGTTTTTAAATTATATTGTATTAAAGTTAAAACGTACACCCTACCCAGTTACATGAAGGTTGTATCCTTGTTAATAACAATGTAGGAGTCAGAATCAATTCTGGTCTGGTAAGCTATAAAGTTATTTATGTCAAAAAAAAGTAAACATATAAAAAATGTATATAACATACATGTATATACACATATACATCTAAAAACATCTTTACATGTGTGTATTTCTTACCTCTGCATATATGTGTGTAGTTATTTATCTATCTACATATACAATGTCACTATTCCTTGTCTATTAAACATTAAATTGTCATGTCTCCAGCTCATGGACTGTACATGTATTCGTGCATGAATAAACTGCTTTTCTTATTATCATCTGGTGAGTTACTACCATTGAGTAGGACAGCTTCCTGGATAATAAGAATATCTGATATATGGGTATATATTTTTATAAAACACTTTTAATTTATTAATTATTCTGTGGACATAACAGTTTAAGAATCTTACAGATGTCACTTTTTAAAAAAGAATCACTACAGGCCAGGCAAGGCAGCTCATACTTGTAATCCCCACACTTTGAGAGGCCAAGGCAGAAGGATCACTTGAGCCCAGGAGTTTGAGACCAACCTGGGCAGCATAGTGAGATCACGTCTCCATAAAAAATAAACAAAATTAGCTAGGTGTAGTGATGCACACCTGTGGTTCCAGCTACTCAGGAAGCTGAGGTGGGAGAATTGCTTGGGACATGACAATTTAATGTCATTTTAGTAGACATAGGAAGGCAAATAATAATAATTTCACAATGTGCAGTGGCTCATGCCTGTAATCCCAGCACTTTGGGAGGCCGAGGCAGGAGGATCACGAGGTCAAGATTCTTTTGATTCAGGGTTGTTTCTCCTAGTTCTTGCTTATCTTCATCTGTTTGGGTGGCTGTACCAGACTATAACACTATAAATATATTTCTTACAGATCCAGAGGCTGGGAAGTTGAATATCCAGGTGATGGCAGATTTAGTGTCTGGTAAGTGCTTGTTCTTCTGGTTAATAGATGATGTCTGCTGTCTCTGTCCCTACCCAAATCTCATCTTGAATTTTACTCCCATAATTCACACAAGTTGTAGGAACTGGTAGGAGATAATTGAATCATGGGGGTGGTTTCTCCCATACTGTTCTCATAGTACTGAATATATCTCATGAGAGCTGATGATTTTATACAGGGTTTCCGCTTTTGCTTCTCTCTTGTTCTCTCTTTGCCTGCTGCCATCCCTTTAAAACGGGACTTGTTCCTCATTGCCTTCCATCATGATCATGAGGCCTGCCCAGCCACGCGGAACTGTGAGTCTATTAAACCTTTTTTTTCCTTCCCAGTCTCAGGTATGTCTTTATCAGCAGCGTGAAACAGACTAACACACCATTTCACTGACGGCTTACTTGGAGGAAGGGGCTAACTAGCTCTCCAGGGTCTCTTTTATAAGAACACTTATGCCGTTCATGAGAGCCCTTCTGACTTAATCTCCTCCCAAAGGCCCCATTTCCTAAAACTACCACCTTAGGAGTTAGGATTTCAACATATGACCAAACATTCTGGTCATAGTACTGTTTCTTGTCACCACTATCACTCTTTTCTTTTTCTCCTTTTTAAGTGTAGCTTCCTGTCTCCTTAGGCAAAGAATCGAAACAACCTAGGTTGGTGAAGCACAGCTATTGGATCGTATAAAAGCAGAATAACTGCTACACTTACAAGTAAAGTACATGAGATTGTATAGAAAGATATCACAGTTTGTGTTTTTAAAGTTTAAAATGCTGTTTTTGCTTTCTTTCCTTTCTTCCAGATCTTCTAACATATTTTGGGTGATAGAGAAAAATGTTGCAACTATAACATAAAATAAAAGGTAAGCAACAGTAATCTTCTAAATTGATAGAGGTAAATAAACCCTAATTAGACTAGGTAACTACTTTCAGAAAAAAAATAATATCTTTCTATAAAGATATATTGTTTACCATTAAGAGAGCTCTCTTTAGCAAATAAAACTAGGAAGTCATCAAAAGGTTTGGTTTCTTGAGACACAAACTCTTAGAATTTTGGCCTTCAGACCCTATCTTAGAATAATACCAATGGACTCTAGCAATTATCCTACCAATCAAAGACAGAGGTTCTATGCAGATATAAACATATTGTTTCTAGTGACAAAAAAAAAAATGAGGTTTTAAGACTCAGAGTGATGGAGAAGAAACAGTATGAATCTTGCCTCATTCTCTTACTAGCATTCAGTCATAGCATTCAGTTACCTCCCACCTCCTACTCTCTCTGGCTTACAGAAAGAGACCTGTCTAAGAGAACTGCCTAGAGCCTTCTGGCAAGGCACAGTACTTGTTGGTGTGGGTCAATGGCAGGACTGGAAGTAGTAATTGGATTTCCTCACTCCCAGTTCACTTGTCTATCCACTACAAAACAGCATGTTAATTTTGAAGATATTTACACTACTATGCCATCATGCCGCTGGCACTAATTATATACCAGGGATCACCTCATGCCCATCCCAGTAGAGTCACTGCCCATAGCAGTATGGACTTCAGATGCCACCTCTCCTAGATAATTATACAACACATATAAAGCCTCAAAATAATGTTTTATATTTAAGAAGAATTCAAAGACAGAATATCCAAGTGTGGAGATATCAAATTAATGTCTATATTTCTCTCCTAATTTTCTATCCAGTGAATAAGAGCTTAATATAATCACAGCAGAAATACTAATAAAATGTTTCAACAGGAAGCAATATCAAAATATATTAATCTAGAATGATTGTTCTGATAGACTATCTTAAACATAAATCTAGACTTTCTCTTTAAAGAATAGTGAATCTCATATAAAATCACATAATCTCTTCCCTGAAATATTTGTCAAAATCAAGTTGGTATGGACTATTTTTATCACAAACACTTGAATTTTTGACAGTGATTCCAATACAACTCTGATTTTGAAACTGCGACACAAATAATTAATTTATTATTATTATTATTATTATTATTATTTTTTGAGACAGAGTCTTGCTCTCTTGCCCAGGGTGGAGTGCAGTGGCAGGATCACAGCTCACTGAAAACTCCATCTTCCAGGCTCAAGCAATCCTCCCACCTCAGTCTCCCAAGTAGCTGGAACCACAGGTGCACACCACCACAGCAGCTAATTTTTTTTGTTTCCTTTTTTTTTTTTTTGGTGGAGACAGGGTTTCTCCATGTTGCCCAGGCTGGTCTTAAATTCCTGACCTCAAGCAATCCTCCTGAGTTGGCCTCCCAAAGTGCTGGGATTACAGGTCTGAGCCACCACGCCTGGCCTACAATGTATTTTATCTTATTTATTTATTTTTGAGACACGGTCTCATTCTGTCACCCAGACTGGAGTGCAGTGGCACTATCACGGCTCACTGCAGCCTTGACCTCCCAGGCTCAAGTGGTCCTCCCACCTCAGCCTTCCCAGTAACTGGGACCACAGGCATACACCATCATGCTCAGCTTATTTTCATATTTTTTGTAAAGTTCTGGTTTTGCCATGTTGCCCAGGCTGGTCTCGAATTCCTGAGCTCAAGTGATACTCCTGCCTTGGTCTCTAAAAGTGGTGGGATTACATGTGTGAGACATCATGCCCAGCCTTGTTTTATTTGTAAACCAAATCTTTAAAAGTTGTCTGATTAAATAAGAAAATACAACATCTGAAAACATATTAATATTTATCATCTTTACATATTCTATAGTTCTTTACAAAGAACATTATTAGAGCTTCAGAAGAAATCAAAGATTGCTCTTTACAAGTTTACTGCTCATCAGTAATCTATAAGTCTCTATGAAACTCTCACAATCCCTCAAGAAATGTCCTGCAAACTTGATATTGTTAAATTTAGAAATAAAATACTCTTAAGGGCCAAACTTTAGATTTCAGAAGAAAACATGTGGAGTACTTAGGTTGTGCAGTCTAACTCTCTTCTGTCATTTGCACTGATAACATGATGCCTGAACACATTTCAGTCCAAACTCAGAGAAGAGAGGCTTACATGCAAGTTCACAAATGGAATAAAATCCAGCTAGTCAGCAAAGTGCTCCCAAATGAGAACCTAACTTCTTTCAAATTGCTTTATTCAAGTTTCATTATCTAGACTTCTTTTTGGCACAGCATGGTTATTGCTCACCCTTTACTATCCCTTTTACCAACACATGTCAAGAACAATCAAAGTACTAGGGTCAATATATAGGTATGCCTGTTTCAAAAAGTTAATACAGAGGGAGAAACCTATTTGGCTAGAATTTCTCACAATTTGAGTCCTAGCCCACAAACAAGACTGATTCATTCACTTTTCTGCAAATATGCTATGAAGCAAAAATTTTAAAAATTTAAAAAGTCTCCAGGTTTGCTAGACTGGTTCACATGCAATACTTTGTTTGAAAAAGGAAGAGAAAAGGATACTGTTTGGTAATTGGAACTTAAAGACTGCATCCTATGTTGTTCAATGCAGATTTCTGGACTGGCATGACAGACTACTGCAATATAATTATTTTTAATTGCCAATTCACATATCTAAAGAAAAGAATATATAAGACTCCCAAAGGCACTGTTCTACAGCAAGGGTTTAATACATCAATGCAGGCTTTAGTAAATAAGGGCTTTTGTCAATATTTCACTGGCACATCACCCACAACATAACAATACCACTTAGAATTTATAGAGGCCTTTCATTTGCAAAGTGCTTTACAATAATTAATCCACAGAATACTCATTTGTCAGGGGAATGAATACTTGATTATAAAACTGAGGATTTTAAGCGAGAAATGGTTTGGATAAGATCAAAAAGTAATACTGTTTTGAGCTGAAATAGAATCTCTAACATCTCCAGAGTTAGCAGTGCTGTTTTGACATGGTTGACATGTTTAATACTTTTTAGGCGCTGATAGCTAAACCCACAGCTTTCTTTATGCTCACTATATTTCTTGAAAGCTCCCTTCTGTACTCCAATGTGTGTTCAGTTTTTAAGAGCCACAGATTTTTCCATACATTCTCAAAAATGGTAAAATGTCTGCATTTCTGAATATATATTCTTTAACATTGAGAAAGCATTTGTAACTGTTGTTAAAATATTAGACCATTCATGCTGTTGTGGTAAGCACAAGTTCACCACTGTATACCCAAGACTGAACACAGCGCATGGCACACAGCAATCAGTAGTCATCCCAAATATCTATACTGAATAAAACTAAGGTTCTCTCAGCTTCATTAACTCATGTATTCATTTGTTCATTCATTTAATCAGACAATCATCATTTGTTGAACTGCTATCTGCAAAGCACTGGATTATTTAGCAAGAAGAGGAGAAAAATGTCATCTGTCCCTTGATCTCACGGAGTTTATAATTAACTACAGATAGATAGGTAAGTGAAAAATAAGGATGATTAAAAACAATGTAGAAGAGCAGTAGGGTAGAAACACAAAAGAAGGAAGAAATATTTCTATTTGGTGAGTGTCTTAGTCCATTTTGTGTTGCTATAAAGGAATTTCTGAGGCTGGGTAATTAATTTTAAAAAGAGTTTTATTTTGGCCAGGCACAGTGGCTCATGCCTGTAATATCCTAGCACTTTGGGAGGCCGAGGTAGATAGATCACTTGAGGTGAGGAGTTCCAGACCAGCCTGGCCAACATGGTGAAACTCCATTTCTACTAAAAATATAAAAATTAGCCAGGTGTGGTGCATGCCTGTAATCCCAGCTGCTCGGCAGGCTGAGGCAGGAGAATCACTTGAACCCAGGAGGTGGAGGCTGCAGTGAGCTGAAACCATGCCATTGCACTCCATCCAGTCTGGGTGACAAGCAAGTCTCTGTCTCAAAGGAAAAAAAAAAGAGGTTTATTTTACTGATGGTTCTACAAGAAACATGGCACCAGCCTCTGCTTCTGGTGAGGCCTCAGGAAACTTTTGGTCATGGCGGAAGGGGACGTGGGACGTGGAGTCTGCATATCACCTGGTGAGAGGGGGAGCAAGAGGACATGCCAGATTCTTTTTAACAGACAGATCTCATGGGAACTAAGAGTGAGAACTCATTCAATTCCTCAAGAATGACACCAACCCATTCATAAAGGATGTGCTCTCATGACCCAAACACCTCCCACCAGGTCCCACCTCCAACACTGGGGATCAAATTTCAACGTGTGATTTTAGACAGGACAAATATTCAAACTGTATCAGTGAGGAGTCAATATAATACTTCACAAAAGATGTAGTTTTACTTGGGTTTTGCATGATTTTGATAGGCAGAAGAAATTGGAGAAGAATGTCTCAGATTGAGGGAAGGCCAAGAAGTAGAAATAGCTTTCCTGCTCCCACCAATTTGGAGAAATTTGTAGCTGAAATTATATCACTTTTGACTACACTCTGTAAATTCAAACTTGATTTGTGTTGCTGAGAAATTCTGGATGAGATTGGCCTGTGATTACCATACAAATTGGTTGTATGTAAATGCGTACTTCTATAGTGTTTGAGGACATGACTTATTCTTTCATATGTCTGAAATATTCCTCAGACTGTTTCCTCTCCTAATGTATATTGTATTTTAAAAATGAGAAATTGTAGGTCTCTTTTGAATAACAGGCTGAAAGACTTCTATGACACAGTACACCATAATTACTTATATGGAAACATGTAATAAGTCTACAGAAACTCCTCAAATACATATTTTATGCTTAATTTTGCTCTAGGCATTATGCAGGATATGATGTGGTTTCCAAAAGAATGTTTTAACGGTGCCGATACACTAAAAATGCTCCAGAAATTCTTGTTAATTAAATATTCCCTGATGAGTTTACTGCTTGAAGGGAAGAGGAGTGACTCCAGACTATGAGAACCACTGGAATGTCACATGAAGTTGTCGATGTGCTCTCTGTGCAATGAGTAAGGCACAAAACACTGAGCCAGTAATTAAACTCATGTCTTCCAGATCGCAGCCTAAGATAGTCTTTGCAAGATACAATGATTCTGTTAGATATTTCTTCATTAGAAGGACTTCATTTCCGTATTGAAATTACAAAGCTGCCTCAGGTATTTATGCATTTTATTTTTCTTCCCTGTGTGCATTGCTCCACCTGTCCCACTGGGTTCTGTTTTCTCTATGGATTGTGTTCATCTCCCACAAAAGCCAACAGAAACTCCGGCAAAACCTAGGGGAACACAGGCAATCCCCTCTGCCACCCCTAGGGCATGCTCAGGAGGACAATGGTATTGTTGCTAAATAGCACTTGCCAGGCGTCCAGGGTTGGAAAGTCTCACCTACTCTGTCACCTGGCAGCCCTCCTCCCAGAGTTAGCCACCAGTAGTACTTATTAAATTATAATGATCTACTTTAAATATCAGTAAATGATGGTGCAACTGACTTTAAAACCAATTTGGATATTTGCTGGACATATCTGTCATTAAGGCTGATTATTAAAGGCTATATAAAACTTAAGAATGTGGCTGTCCAGAAGGGATCTAACAGTTTTCCTTAATTTTTAGCTTAAACAGAGACAGACCAACATTATAATCCTGGATAACCAATCTATTACCTTCCAACTGCCTGGGGCCAGAGCCTGGGGGCAGTGTGGTAGGTGCCAATTTTGGTCAAGTCAGGTCTTTCTTAGGGGCAGTCATGAGAAGTAAGAGTCAAGAGTTGTAAATAACTATAATCCATTTTTCTGAAATCTCATATAGTTTCTATTTTTATAAATTTAAAAGTATTATTCTGAAAATGGAATCCATAGGCTTCACAAAAATGCCAAGGTGATCCATGACACAAAACCATTAAGAATCCCTTAAGGCTGACCTAACGCAGTGGCTCACATCTGTAATCCCAGCACTTTGGGAAGCCAAGGATGGGCTGCACACTCGCAACTAAGAGCTTGAGACCACCCTTGCCAACATGGCGAAACCCCATCTCTGCTAAAAAATACAAAAATTTGCTAGGTGTGGTGGCACATGCCTGTTATTCCAATTAATTGGGAGTTTGAGACATGACAATTGCTTGAACCTGGGAGGGAGCCAAGATCGCACACTGCACTCCAGCCTGAGTGACAGAGTGAGATTCCATCTCAAAGAAAAACAAAATTCCCTAAAGGTTGTCCAGAAATCAGTTAATGTGCAAGCATAGCAAATGCATGGGAGAAAGTAGAGTAGAGAGGTCACTTTCCATAAGGAAAATACAGTGAGGTACTGAAAGTCCAAAGGAACATGGACCTAAAATATTATTGTGAAAAAAAAAAAAAAAAAAAACAGGCAATAGAAGGGAGTTTGCAATATCAGGAAGGGAACAGATTAGGACTAGATAAAGATTAATTAATCATTGGGCATGGAGAAATTATTCCAAGACAAGCATCAGGGAGAAACCTGAATGCTCTCTTTATCTTGCAAGTAGGGTCTTAAAAGAAACAGGGACCCACTAAATAGTCACTTAGCAGAAATAGCCAAGAACTACTAATTATTGTTTAGTTACTCAATTAAAGTAAATGTAAAAATGTATTGAGCACTTATTATGTACCAGGTACCACATGCTAGATGACAGATATCCAATGGTATAGAAACAACAGAAATGGTCTTTGACCTTGTTAAACTTACAGTGGACTCGGAGAGACAGGCATTAATTGAGTGAGTAAGAACACACAAAAATTATGATAAGCTCTATGGGGGGAAAGAGTATGGTGGCAACAAAGGCATTTACAGTTTGGTAGCCAGTGAAATTGAAGCTCTGGCCCAAAGATGAGCACAAATTGGCCAGGCAGAGTAGAGGGAGGGTGCTCCAGATGGAGCGAGGAGCATGTAGGAAAAGAGGGTACTGCTGCTTAGTATTTGGAATTATTATACTCTTCAACACACTGTAGAAATTGGGTAGATTCTCCACCTTGAGAAGAAGAAAAGAGAGTATAGGGGTAGAAGTCAGGTAAGTAAGGGAGCAGGGAAATAAGGAGAAAGAGGCAAACTTTTACCTTCTAATCCTTGGTATGACTAGAGGCTGAGGAACCACCTCTTCTTTCATTTATTCTCCAAATCAGAGCTATCTTTTCTCTTTTATACCTTTTGCAATGAAAATAATATGATGAAAAGAAAAAGAGAAGCCCTATTTCATTTCAGTATTTACTGAGAATCCAACATGTACAACTAAGACGGTGCTATGGAGCATATACAAGTGAGCACAACACTTCCTCTGCAGAACAATCGAGTGAGAGGCAGAAAAAAATCAAATAGAATGCCTGCTAGGTGTTGAAGTAGAGCCACCAGCCCTCTGGGTGGCCTTAGGCAGGTCAGGTCTCCTCTGGGAGCCTTCCTTTCACATCTGTCATAGAGCTTGTAGGCAACTGACTTTGTGAAGTTCCTTCCAGGTTAAACAGACTGTGCTCCATTTTTTAGACTGTCATTAGAAAATGCTCAAATACATCTGTGTTTGTATATGATTGGAGGCAGTCAACATATTTAAGAGATCAGACATATAATTAAAATTTTGTTGTTGAGGTGGGATTTCTCCCCCTTTTAAGTGTCACTTTTGATAAACCTGAGCCTGAATTGAGCTGTTCAGAGATTAAGGAGATTAACATACCATAATACGCACATACTAATTCACTAAATGTCTAGAGGTTGATGTTGGGGCTTTAAGGAGGGGTGTTTCTTGAGGCTAGGCACAGGACTAGGTGCTAGAAATTCCAAAGTACCTAAAACGTGGTCCTTGCACTTTAGACATTCAATGGGCTCAAAATGGAAGGGGCCATGTAGAAAATAGTGAGCATAAAGAGTTCCCTGTTTAATAAATGGTGTTGGGAAAACTGGCTAGCCATGTGCAGAAAGCAGAAACTGGACCCCTTCCTGACACCTTACACCAAAAGTAACTCCAGATGGATTAAAGACTTAAACATAAGACCTGGCACCATAAAAACCCTAGAAGAAAATCTAGGCAAAACCATCCAGGACATAGGAGTAGGCAAGGACTTCATGAACAAAACACCAAAAGCATTGGCAACAAAAGCCAAAATAGATAAATGGGACCTAATCAAACTCCACAGCTTCTGCACGGCAAAAGAAACAGTCACTAGAGTGAATTGGCAACCAACAGAATGGGAAAAAATTTTTGCAGTCTACCCATCTGACAAAGGGCTGATATCCAGAATTTACAAAGAACTCAAACAGATTTACAGGAAAAAAACAAGCCCATTCAAAAATGGGCAAAGGATATGAACAGACACTTTACAAAAGAAGACATACATGAGGCCAACAAACATATGAAAAAATGCTCATCATCACTGGTCATTAGAGAGATGCAAATCAAAACCACATTGAGATACCATCTCACGCCAGTTAGAATGGTGATCATTAAAAAAATCTGGAGACAACAGATGCTGGAGAGGATGTGGAGAAAAAGGAATACTTTTACACTGTTCTTGGGAGTGTAAATTAGTTCAACTATTGTGGAAGACAGTGTGGCGATTCCTCAAGGCCTTAGAAATAGAAATTCCAATTGACCCAGCAGTCCCATTACTGGGTATATATCCAAAGGACTATAAGTTGTTCTACTATAAGGACACATGCACACGAATGTTCATTGCAGCACTGTTTACAATAGCAAAGACCTGAAACCAACCTAAATGCCCATGATGATAGACTGGATTGGGAAAATGTGGCACATATACACCATGAAATATTATGCAGCAATCAGAAATGATGAGTTCGTGTCCTTTGTAGGGACATGGATGAATCTGGAGAACATCATTCTCAGCAAACTGACACAAGAACAGAAAATGAAATATCGCATATTCTCACTCATAGGTGGGTGATGAAAAATGAGAACACATGGACACAGGGAAGGGAGTACCAAACACTGGGGTCTATTGGGGGGAAGAGGGGAGGGACATCTGGGGGGGAGAGCTGGGGAGGGATAGCCTGGGGAGAAATGCCAAATGTGGGTGAAGGGGAGGAAGGCAGCAAAACACACTGCCATGTGTGTACCCATGCAAATGTCTTGCATTTTCTGCACATGTACCCCAAAACCTAAAATGCAATAAAAAAAAAAGAGTTAGCTGCTCTAAGTATCAACCTAGACATACAAAGGAAGAACTGTAAGGACACTAAGAAGGAAGGAAGTGTTAATGGGAGAGATACACGTGGAAAGTTTTATCACAAGTCTTGTGTTTAAGCCTGATCTTAAGGAGTGAAGAGGAGTTAGTTAAACAAGGTGAAGAACATTCCAGGCAGACAGACTATGATCAGTAAAGGCAAGAAGGGAAGCATGAACATAATTCTTTTCCTTCCCCAGCATCTATTTCAGTAACATTGCAGATAAACAGGATTTTAAACATGGGAAGCCATCCAAATCAGACAATTCTCATTCTTTTATCAAAATCCTAAAGGGAACATTTTTAAATCTCTTTTGTAATTGCTAGGAAAATGAGGTGTGCCCAGAATCCTTATTTAGAAAAAGCAGTCTTTATTTTTTTAATCAAACAACATATCACTTTTTCAATAGAGCTGGAACCAAATTCTGCATTTCATATGTTAATTGCAATTTACTTATTCTTCTGTAAGGTGCATAAATATGGTCTGTCAGCCATTAAACAAATTTAAGTATGAGAAAAAAAAACAGAAATGGGCTCCACAAAAAGCAAGGAAATGCATCAAAATCAGACATTTTGTCACACTAGAAGACAAAAACATCGACGTGAAGAATGTCCTTGCCAGGTTAAGACACGTTCCTTTTCTACGTACTGTCAACCTAAACTCAGCTCCACTCAGAAGTGTCTGCTTGGTTGGCAGCTGCTGAGAGATAGCAACTCCTCCTAGCAACAGATGGAGCCAATCAAAAGCCAGCAGCAGTGATCCTTGCTGTTAAGTGCAATGACATCTCATTTATCTGGCAACTCCAGTGAAGACTGTATAGTATATAAGATAATTGCTAAGAGACTGAAATTTACATTCCCATGCACCAGAGACTATTAGAATTTCAACAGCATGATTGGAAATTTGCCTAAAATTAGAGGTCTGTGTGTTTAAATTATGAACTGGTATCAGACTGTGGTGGATTATGCTTAGATTTTAGAGTAAAGAGACCTGAAGGTGACTATTAGTTTTCTCACTTAATGCTCATATGTTCTTTGGCATGATAGTTTCCCTGAGTTTTAATTTTTTTATCTCTTAAAATAAGATAGATACATTGTCTGACCTAACATACCTTGCAGCAGTGCTGTGTTAATCACAAAATATTGCAGATATCAAAGCCCTTTGAAACTGCCAAGCATCATGTAAATCAATATTAACTGACGTTTTCTTACTATTAGAGAAACAGTATTTAATATAGCTAATAGCTTCAGCTCCCATCTGAGTTATCTCCAGTAAGCCATTTCACCTTTATTTCCTCACCTGCCCAAGAAAAAGAATGCTAGGACATGATTCAGGAACTTGCTGTGAAGACTGGATGATTACACTCATAAAGTTCAAATATGTAGTAAGCACTCAAAAATGTTAACTAACAATTATTATCATTCCATCAGTTAATGGTGTGAGAACTTGAGGGGCTAATAAATTGGAGAGAGTTCTTATTCCTGCTAAGTGACCCCCAAAGCAATATGCTATAGAACCCAAAACACATGTATCCAGCGGATCTTGCATAAAATTCTCTGAACTCTCTACAAATTTTTTTTAAACACATTCATGCATGCTAGAGGTTATTCCCAAGACATCTACTTCCTCTGTTGGGCTTTGAACACTGCTTTTGCTGTCTCCTGCTGATGACCTCTTCATTCCATGAAATTACCATTCTCCTGCTGTACACATAACTAAAAATTTGGGATGGTCCATGGTATATTTGATTAAGTAGTGCTGCCAAGCATATAGTTCCTTATAGGCCTGTTTATATAAAGTATCTACTTTTTATCTTATTACCAATATGCTCTCCTGCATTGAAAAGAGAGAACAGGAAACTCTTTTAAAGAATTTACAATAGTCAGTTTCTCAATTCTCACTCAACTCCACTTGGTTGCATTAATATTTAATATTAACATTAAAAGGTATCATATAATTATCACATATACCATACTTTGCATGTTATTATAGATGAATCTGTTATACAGTTTAGAACAAATCACAATGGCCAGTATTCCTGAACCCAAATCAGTAAGACTTACTGACACGAACTACACTTTTAAGCTAAAATTTTTAAATATCCTCTCTGTTTCATAATGCTTATCCCATCCTCATAACTTTAGTAGATCCCACTTTGAATGTCTTAATTTTTGTGCTGTTTACCTTTCTTGCTGTACTATAAGCTCCTTTGAGAGCAGAAGTTTTATATGATGGTTTATAGTACAGGCACCCAAAGCATCTAACTCACTTTGTACACAGCAGTTCATGCTTAACAGATGTCTATTAAAGAAACACTACCAAAATCAAAAAAGAAAAGGAGGGCCTTGGGAATGGAAGAAAAACAAGAGATAAACAGAGAAAGAAAAGAGGGGAAGGAGGGAAGGAGAAAGAAAAGATATAAACAGAAGGAAGGAAACTAAATTGTTTTAAATGCATGGGCAGCTATCTCAAGGATGTTTGACTTCTTTCAATACAAGTCTTAGACCACTTTTCAGATAAAGTATAACGCTGTTTCTCATTGCCACTCTTGGACATCACCTCTTAGTCCTTAGGAAGACTGATGCCACTACAGGGTGTCAAAATAAATGGAATTTTAACAGGCTTAATTTTCATACAAATTCAAAAAGCTAGATGTAAAATAAAAGAAACAAATTTTTAAACAGAGCTATAATATCTTTGTTTGTGTTTTACTCTTCTTCCCAGAAATACATGTTGAGCTGGCCTTTCTCTTTATACCTCCCACTCCTTCTCTGCCTCCCAGCCAGATTCTACACGTCAGTTTGTCCAAGTCCCCAGCTCTCACGTCCTTAAATCACCAACGTCACTCTTCCAGACACACACCCCAGCCAATATTCTGGTCTCCAGTGAAAGATAAACCAAGAAATAAAAGTTCTAAATAGAAATTCTAAATTCCTGCACATGAGAGAACATTCACTTTTCAAATATAGGAGGAAAAGGAGGCTTAGAAACAAATAAGTATATATATATCTTATGAAACACTGTGAAGAGACTCCTAGATCTGGAGTTAAAAGGCTTAGTCTTTGTGTCTGACACTGATATTAGTGAACCTACTTCCCTTGAGAAACATACTATATTTCTAATAAAGCAGTAGTGACACTGTTTGATACATCTCTCTGGGTTTTCTGTTTTTTTGGAAAAAGTTTTCATGTTTGTGATTACAAATATGAAAATTTCTCAAACATAAATTTTAAAAATGTACACAATAACACACATACCTTTTCTGAATACATATTGTTTATATGATCTCAATTATATGTTTGGGGAAAATGTAAGTTGGAAATTCTTACACAAATCCATCCATTATGGAAGTTCTAAGCCACTAATTCCCTCTACTGCAACCAGGTATATATAAAAACATGCCTTAACCCCCAATTTAGGTGAGTTGGAGGATATGATTTTCCAATGATGGAATACTCTAAGAAAACAAGAAGCGGCATCATTTTTCTGGGTTGCATCATAATGACTATCAGAAACATGGTCAAAGAAGCTGGGCATGGTGGCTTAAACTTGTAATCTCAGAGTTTTGGGAGGCTGAAGCAGGAGGATCTCTTGAGGCCAGGAGTTCAAAATCAGCCTTGGTAACTTAACGAGAGTTTCTGAACATATATTTCTAAGGGGCAAATGAATGAATTCTAGTTCTCAACCTGTATTGCTGACCTATGTATACTGACCATGAATGGTCTTCTGGTGGCCCCAGAGAGTCAACAATGGTTTGTCATCAAGGGCTTACCCAGGACAGAAACCAATAAAATATTGCTCACTCAGATTACACAACACAACATTTTGGAAGAGGTAATATAAATGAGAGTGATCTCTGGATAACGAAAGGATTTTAAAAGTCCAGGCTATCCATTTCAACTTTCTAATCTGATAAAAAGGGGTTGAACCCAATAATTTATGTTTCCTTCCACTTCCAAAATTTAATAATATTATTGTTTACTTGTTCATTTATTTATTTAAAAATATTTATGTCCTTAAAAAGAGAAAAGTACCTGTTAAAAATTAGATTTGGTCAATATTCTCATGGAAACTATAATCACACATCATATAGTATTTAAATGTGATCAACAAATAGTTGAAAATGTGTTATATGAAAAATAACAATAATTTTTGCAAAGTTTTACATCCCTTACTGCGTCTTAGGCATCATTTTATCTGATGAAAGACAAATATGTAGCTAGACATGGATATGGGTAATGATTAGATAAGAAATAAAATGGAGATAGAGACAGAAAAATTCATTTAATCATGACAACAACCAGCAGCTTTAGAACATTAACCACGTGCCAAGCATGTGTTAAGTAATTAACATATATTTTCTATGATGCCAGATTGTAAAACTAGGACTAAAAAAAGGCACAATAAATAGAAACGATCCTTATCATCACCTTCCAGTGTATGCTTTAGGTAATATAGCCCTAATACTGGAGATAGCAGCAACGAATGGATTCTAATTGTGATGAATATTAGGGGAAAAAAGCCACTGATTTCGTTTAGCCAACCTCTATGATCGTTTTTATCAACTGGAAGTTAAAAAAAAAATGAAGCTAGAGTGGGCACAATGCTAGATAGCAGAGAGAGAACAGTCATATTTGGAAGATATCTCAATTCTACAGGCAGAATTTTTTTTAAAAACAAACCAAACAACAACAACAGTTTATTGTTAGGGGAAGCACTGAGACTGGCCTTTAAGAGTTTACCAAGAGGCTGATTTGCAGAGAT